ACTAGTATGCTGAAAAATGAGAAAAGGATATGTGGTATAATGATTGAATTACAAAAGGCGTGATAAGTGCTATGTTTTACAACTTATATTATTCCATGATTGTGATAATGTCATTGTTTTTCTTATATTGTTTCATGAATTCCACCGAGGTAAGTGGATGGTAAAGGTTTTATCATAAATAAAAAGATTTGTTGTAAATCATACTCCATTGGTCTTTTGTGTTTTTCTACCCACCTTTACCTCCGTGACGGTGAGATATCGTGATGTTCTTACTGGGCTAGTGTAGCTCACTCCTTATTTAACCATTTCAGATCAGGAGGACATGGTTCCCGAGCCCGTTCCGCAGGAGGACGACGAAGGGGATGCTTAGAGATTCTGTAGTCATACTCATAGTTCTATTTTCGAGTTTCTCTTTTAGTTAGTTTAATCTTTTATATTTTAAGTACGTTTTTGGTTTTCGTGTAAGGAATGTTAACTGAAAATTTGATCTCGCTTTCGCATTTTATGTGTTTAAATACTCATTTCATTTTCACATTTTCGGGGTCGTTACAGTAATAAATAAGATTAAACTATATTATTTCTTCATAAAAAATTAAGTCAAATATTAGCTCGTTATGATTATTTAAATTAAATAAATTTAGTACGAAATAGTTTATACAAAAATGAAGTCAGTATTAAAGTCGTTATGATTATTTAAACTAAGTGAATATAGTATGAAATATTTTTTTTATTAAAATTGTAATAATTCATTAAAACGAGAATCAATTTAATGACTGAAATTTAATAAATAGATTAAAGAATTAAGTTTTAGACCTACTAAATAAAATATCGGGAATTTACTACTATTAACTCTAACTCATGATATACTTTTAAAGATGTGAATTTTATATCATTACGTAAATTTAAATTTATGAGGTTGAAATAAAATATTAGAATATTAAATAATAATATTAATAAAGGGAAAAAAAATGAGTCTCATATAATGCATGTGAAATTAAAAAAAAAAAGAAAAGAAAAAAAAAACGTTGAATAGACATATCATACCATACATGATAAAATATACGTGTCAGAAGTCTAATCTAAAAGCAAAAGTTTTGTTGTAAAATTTATATTAATGATTTATGATATCTTTTAGGATAAGTATATTATCATTGCTTACACCAATTTCTAACTTTTAAATTCATAAATATGTATCATTTTAAGGTATAAATATATATATATATATATGTACATATTAAGATGTAAATTATAATGGTTTATGATAATTAATCTTGTAGGATGTACATATATATATATATATATCATTGTATAGATTAAAATTTAAATTACAATGATTTATGATAATTAGTCTTGTAGAATATATATATATATATATATATATGTGGGTGTGTGTGTGTGTGTATATGCAAGTTGACTTGACGACTAATATTAAACATAGGTAGGGAGTCACGAAGTTGATCCGTTATCATTATATTGAATAGCTTGCTACTACAAAATTTTTGAAAAATCTATGTTAATTAAGTTAAATTTAGTACATACAATATAAAATACAAATTTGTTGAATATATATACATGTATAAATATGTTTTTATAATGACATACTATATAATATTATGTGATCATGTGGGCGGCACTAGTTTGTAAATTACAGTGAGTTACTTCAATATAAAATTAATTACTAACTTATATAAGTATATATATATATATATTAAGTAATTATAATTTTATAGTAATATGTAAATGATGGAATATTTTGCTACAATAAAAAATGAAATATTTTAAAATTTGAAAGGGAGAAAAGAGTGTGTTTTTAATGGGGGAAGAAATGATGGTGATGATGGTTTCAGAGCGGTGCAATTCATAATGTCTGTGTATAAAAGTAAAAGCTGCTACCAATTTGATTATTTTTTGATCTTCTCACTATTGTCTTCAATCATCATACCTTATATATATATATATATATATATTATTATTATTATTATATGTGTCTTCTCTTCTCTCCCAATCTACCTCTCCTCTCTTTAAAACCAAGCAATATATAAATATATATATATACACACACAAACATATATGCAGACACACCCATATATATATATATATATACACACACACACATATATAACAGTACAAGAATGAAGTTTTAAATTTTAAAATAAATTATTTTTTTGAATAATAATCTGGCTTATTTGCTCAATTTTTTGACCGTTAATGAATATAATATTCTAATGTTAGAACAACAGTGTACTATATAAAAATTAAATAAAAATAATTATTTGAATTATTAATCTTAGAGAAAAAAATAAAAATAAAATTCCAATCAAGAAATAAAAAAATATTCAAAAAAAAAATTTACTTAATGTGATATTGTTGTTGTAAATTTATTTTGTAATAATAAATTAAAATTTAATATTACTTTTGAAAAAATTAAAAAAAAAAAAACTATATCCCTTAATCTAAGATGCCTTGTCCCTGAATGAAGGAGCATGTAATAATAATTAATTATTAATTAACTAAATTATCTTTACTTTATAGCTAAGATCTCATTTATTTAATCCTTTTTTATTATTTAAATTAAAAAGTAATTAATACAAAAAAATTAAGTAAAAATTAAATTTATAAAAGCGTGCTGACTTTGTTATCATTCCTAGGCATAAAAAAGTGGGACAATTCGGTGTAAAGCATATTTATTTTAGGGGATTTTCTCCCCTCTTTATTTATTTATTATTATTATTATTTAAATTTTATTGGGTACTAATTAGTAATAATTTATGTTTCTACTTTATTTGGTTCCAGATTTATTTTTAATAAAAAGTTAATCTGGTTATTAAAATAGTTTAATTAAAAAAATTAATATTTATAAAATTTTTTTAATCAAAATTGTAATAATTAATATAATAAAATTTAATTTAATTTAATTATTACAGTTTAAACAACGAGTTAAATTTTAAATAAGCTGAAATAAATATTATAAATCCCATAAATATTATAACGTCATCTTCTATATAATAATAATAATTTTTGGTGTTTTGTTAAGAGAGTGAATCATCCTGTTTGGCCGAATTCATTCTTTACACATTCACACACACATATATATATATATATATATATATTGTGTCATATATATATATATATATATGTAACATAACGAGGCCTTCTTCTCTGTATGTGTATCTCTCTATCTGTACGTATCATCCATGGCTGCAGATCAAATGATGGAAAACAACAGTGATCACGAAGACCAAGAAGCTCTAATCTTCCATTCTTACCCTTACGCAGCTTATTACGTCCAGAGCCCCTCCACTCTCTCCCATACAAATAGCGTTAACGCCGTCGACGTCCGAAACCTTCACTCCACCACCAGCACTCATTCTTCTCCGGCGAACGACGCCGTTTCAGGCTTCACCACTCTCTCCCGGTACTCTTCCAACGACGAAGACGTTCTTTCCTTACTCAAAGGACATAAGACGAAGATGATTGGAGTAATCCCAGGTGGGATCCACCAGAAAGAAGGAGCCATCAACCGTCTGATCATCGTTGATCATGACGATGAAGATGATGATGACGATGAGGATGATGAGAATAATGATGGGGGGAAGAAGAAGAGAGGGTGCTGGTGGAGATATATGTCGTTTAGAAGGTCTGACAATAATGCTTGTGGTTGGATTGCTCTGCAAATATTTTGGAGGCTTCTGTTTAGTTTGGGAGTAGCATTGCTTGTCTTCTACATCGCCACTAATCCTCCCCATCCAAACATTTCCATAAAGGTACGTATCTACACTGCTTATATATCTTTTATAAATACATACATATATGTATATATAGATATTGTTGATATTCAATTTATAAAAAATTATGTTTATTATGTTATTCTGTCAGTAAAGATACATATAAATCACACGTCCTCCTCCAAATCTACAACCTCTAATAGAAAGAATGAAATAACAATTATTTTGGTTAAGTAATAATTAAGCTTATAATTAGTATTAAATTTAAATGGGATAGTTGTTTTATTGTAGAATTATGGTTCAAGTTCAAATTTTAGTATTTATTTGGTTTGAAAAATAGGCTTTTTAGAGATTGATGAAATGATGAGTAAAATATAATTTTATTAATTTATTGGATGATATTTTTATTCAATTTTTAGTAATTTTATATATTTTAAAGTCAGATAATAATTATGATAAATTATTGAATAATTTGTATCATAATATTTTAGTTACGATTTAATTTTTGATGTTTTTTTATTTATAATTACTTATTATAAAACTAAACTAATTGACCACTACGATTAGAAATTTCTCTTATTTTTATTAATTTATTAATTTAATTAATTAGTCAAAATTATTATTTTTTTTAAAAAAACAAACGGTTTGGTCATTTTAATTTTTTCTGCGAGAAAATAAAAAGAAAGTGAACGTTTGAAATTAATAAAAGACGTAAAAAAATAAAATTACAACAAAAATAATAAATTATAATAAAAATCAAACTTTAAATACTAATATCAGAATTTAAATTATTAATTATAAAATATTTATTTTTGAATAATGAATTGAAATTGGGCAGATATCAGGAATTAGAGAATTTGGGCTGGGAGAAGGAGTAGATGGGCATGGGCTTGCTACGAAAATCCTCACCTGCAATTGTTCAATGGATCTAACGGTCGACAACAACTCTCGTCTCTTCGGACTCCATATTCACCCTCCGATCATCCAAATGTCCTTTGCACACTTCCCTTTCGCCTTTGCACATGTAAGTAACTATTATACGTACAGACATATATATATATATATATGTTATTATCATTTCTGTTCTACAAAATATAAGAATTGTTCAAACCTAGAGAGTTTTTAAATATATATATATATATATATATTTTAATATAATTAATCTCATTAAGTTTAAATTCATGATTCATTAATGAACTAAAATAAAATACTATAATAATTTCACTCTTGAATATATGAATGTTCATCGCTTCAAAATTAAAGTAGACTAAACTATAAAAATTTAGAATGCATTGGATCGGATTATACATATTTTTAGATTTTTTTTTTTTGTCTTATTGGTTTAAAATTTAAATTAATTCAAATATATGATTAATTTTAATTAATTAATAAAATTAATAAAATCAACCATCTTCATGAAACCTTACGCAGGGTCCAAAGCTGTACGCACAGAGTCATGGATCAACAGTTTTCAAGTTATATATAGGAACAAGGAGCAAGCCAATGTACGGTGCAGGAAGAAACATGCAAGATATGTTAGAGTCAGGGAAGGGTTTGCCTTTACTTATCCGAGTTAGTTTCTCCTCTGATTTTCGAGTGGTTTGGAGCCTCATCAACCCTAAATTTCACCACCAAGCTCAGTGTTTACTACTCATCCATCCAACATATGATAAGAAACACAAAACCCAGAAATATAATAGCACATGCATAACAATGTAATGATGAAATTAAGAGGCACACAGTCTTATAAATAGCCTTGTGTTATATGAATTTACTTTAATCGAATCGAGCTATACACACCAGTGAATGGTGCAGGCAGAAACGTGCAAGATATGTTGGAGTGGGTGAAGAGTCAACCGCTGCTTAATTCGGGTTAGTTTGTCGACTCATTTCCGAGCTGTCTGGAGTCTCATCAACCCTAAATTTTCCCATCAAGCTTGGTGTCTGCTACTCATGGATCTAGCTCATCATAAAGAACATAAAACTCAAAAATATAATAGCACATGCATAATGATGCAATGATAAAATCAAGGGAAACACATACGTAGATATATATATATATATATATATATATAATGGTTACAAAAATTATTTGTGTAAATGAAGTTCATATATAGCATTCTATAGGTTTGTGTCTAATTAATATCAGTGTTGTGTTACATTATACATTATATGAGAGCTAAAAAATTGAAATATATTGTAGATGCTCAAAAATACATTTACATTTTTATTTATTTCTATATAAAAATATTATAATAACAATCCAATTTAACACTTCTCATGTAGTAAAATTCATCCTACTAACGTAAAGAAACTATATTGAACTATAGATAATATTGTTTTACATATTGTCATATCAATAACGTCTTTCAAATAATTTTTATACATATCATTTTAAAATTTATGTTTATTATTCGATAATAAAATGTGATTTGAATTTAACGAAGTACGTACATTTAGAAATAGTTTTACCGATTCGACCACTATGTTCATTGTTCCGTACTTTTCAGAAAGCTTTATTTAAATATGCAAATGTGATTAATTTTTGAAAACAAAATTAAAATGTAACGGCCCCGGAAAATATTAAAATGAAATGAGTATTTAAATATATCAAATGCGGAAGCGAGATCAAAATTTCATTTAACATCCCTTACACGAAAAACCAAACAAACGTACTTAAAATATAAAAGGTTAAACTAACTAAGAAAGAAAACTCGAAAATAAACTATGCGTATGACTACAGAGTCTCTAGGCATCCCCTTCGTCGTCCTCCTGCGGAACGGGCTCGGGAACCATGTCTTCCTGATCTGAAATGGTTAATTAAGGAGTGAGCTACACTAGCCCAGTAAGAACATCACGATATCTCACCGTCACGGAGATAAAGGTGGGTAGAAAACCACAAAAAGACCAATGGAGCATAATTTACAATAAACTCG